CGTGCAGCGACTTCTCAGCAGGTGGCGCTTTACATCTGGCCCAAAACCTTGCGTTTCTCACAAGTTTGGAAGAACTAGATCTGACTGAAAATAAGATCGGAGACAACGGTTTGTCTAACATCATCCCATACATTCGCCACATCTATAACTTAGACGTAGCTGCTAGTGTTGTGAGTGTGAATCCAGGGCTCCAATTTTGCAGTCGACAGGTAGCTCTTCCAAGCTTCTCCCTCAAGCTGAACTGTACCAGGTTGTCTGATGTCGGAGTCGCCGCTTTGGCAGTACATGCGCGCACCTTGTGGCATGTGACGGAACTGGACCTGGGAAGAAACTGTATTGGTGACGATGGCGCAGCCGCGCTGGCAAACAGTTTCTGCCACCTGTGTCGACTGAGAGTTTTGATACTGTACATCAACAACATATGCAGTAAAGGGGCCGTTGCTATTTCAAAGGGCTTGAGGTACGAAAAAAGGTTTTAAAAAGACCAACTTGTCCTATTTTTCCAGCAACCCATTGGAGGCTGGTAGAGACTAGCGATAGTATTAACCAACAGTCCGCATCTAACTTCATGTCAAAGGCATCTTTGACTGTGATCTACACTGAATTTTTAACCGTCCAAAGTCGAATTTCCATAAAATGTAGGTAGAGATTAAAAAATCTGACTTGTTTGTGTCTTGTTTTCGTAGAGTTTTATCACTGACACATCTTCCTTTTTCACAGATTTTTGCGCTGCTTACGGGTTCTCAGTCTCGGAGCCAACAATATCGGTGACAGGGGGGTGACAGAGTTGACTCGGCAGTTTGTACATATTTCTAGCATGGAGGTTTTGAAACTTGACCACACAATGATGACCCACAAAGGTACTGTAGCACTCATTGATCGATTGATCATGAGTTTCAACCCTGATTCTTTCTGCTAAATAAGGAATGACTTTTAACTGCGATTTCCAGCAAAAAAAAAACAGACTGCACATGAGCACTATTTCTGTGACGCCACTTTAGGCCGTTAATAACACAGGAGATCGGATGTAGCATTTACAGTAGTTTGTTGCGTCATCTGTCTATATTTAGTATTGGTACCGGGGCCTCAGCCTTATAACTTAAAAATGGTTATGTTTGGGGCCAAGATTTCTCCCCCTACAAGTCCTAGGGTTTCCAACAGTGTCTTTAATCTCTTACTACAGGTGTAATCGCCATCGCTGCGCAACTGTATCACATGCCGCGTTTGAAACAGCTAGACCTCGGGAAGAACAAGATCGGTGACCTCGGTGCTAGAGCTTTGGCCGAGGTCTTTCCGAGGCTCAGACGCCTTCAGCACCTGTTTCTTTGGGACTGCGGCATTACGTCGTCAGGCGCCGAGGGCATCTCCAACCGCATGGTGCACCTTGTGCAACTCCGGGAACTCCAGCTGGCACATAACGATATCGCATTGGAGAGCCTGCAACTGTTAGTGCCAGGGTTTCTCGCAACGCCGTCGCTTTCCAAAGTTGATTTGCGCGGGGTACGAACGTCCGAACTTGGCACACAAGCTGAGGGGATGTTCTACAGCTTTGTAGAGAGCTTAGAGGGATCAGTTGGCCTGTACAGCCTGTATCGGGGCCAGGAAGACGGGTTGAGGTGGCAAACTGACGATGGGGACTTAGATTATAGGAGATATCGTTTGGGTGATGGCGCCAACACAAAAATTGTTACTGACAGACTGAGTATTCTATTCAGCCTACGCCTGGATGATTAAGGGTTCTTTTGTTTCATTTCACCACCATGTAACAAACCACAAACGGATCAGTTTAAAGCAAAATAAAGATACATTCAAGTTGTTGGATTTGTGTGACTCTTTTCTTCTTGTAAGCAATATTCAACCGACGCAATTCGGCCGACGCATTTGATGAATTTTAAAATGACATAGCTCTACAGTACCAGGTCAAGTTTTTGTCTGGCCCGTCGACCGATGACCCTGTGTACCAGTACATTATATCGCACGAGAAGTGCGCGCCGTCGTGTGACGATTTCGTCATCAAATGCAGTCCACAAAAAGGGAGCAAGGAACGCGAGAACGTGAAGGGAATCTATGGGGTAACCTTGGCGAAGACGAGAGAGCAACAAGCGTTTAATACATCATTAACTTATCCCTCAAAGATAGCGACTGGAACTAAACCGATTTCCTCTCACGAAGCCGAGGTTCTATCCGGCGGTACGTGTATGAAGAAAATTTGATATAGCTATCAGAGGTATGACAAGGCAGTCAGCGAGAGATATCTGTGGAGCCGTTTTAGATAGGGTAGGTTTATCTGGGATTCTGTGTATATCTAATAGCTCTCTGCAGTTGAAATTGAAAAACCGAAACGTTTCAGAGGTAGACGTTATGTACAGTTGAATGGGTTATTGACATGGCGTAGCGTTATTGTACACCTCACTGGGTTTACATTACCTCTAAGTCACTGCGCCGTTTGTGTAACGACGATCATTCACATGGTGCATCACTTACCCCTGTGGCTGTTCCGCCGTTCCTAGCTCGGTGGATATAAGCATCATTTCCTGTTACGTCTTTGATCTGTTACCAGATCATCTGTACTGCCGATACGAGATATCTGCTGGTAAACCCAGTCCCATTTTCAAGAGAGCTAACTACAGTCCTTAAAAGCCATTACAGCCGAAGTAATGGCCCAGGACATTACGTCCAGGAATTGTACATCGGGTGATGTCATACATCCAAGTCTTGGAGACACTGAGAGTTTTAATATGTCATGTGCTTAATTAGGGTCCAAATCTATCAATAATTAATAAATAATCAATAGTTTATGACCCGCTCGAGGTATTTATGATGACATAAGCCCTGCCTAGTGACCTGTAACCTACGAATAAACCACCGAGTGAGCGAGTGAAGGATTGTAGGATTATAGGAACTCCAGGCAGTATGTTCTTTGAAACAGATTATTCAGTCTATATGCCAGGTAGTAGGCAATATTCCACATCTTGTTGTCCCTATATAATGGCCAAAGATCGTCCGTCAACTAGAAAATATTCCATGTCGCAAATATTGAATTTTCCTCATAACTCTTATTGATAAGTAGCAGCCTTGAGTCACAGCGGTGGGCAATATTATTTCATTATCGTTACCTTTGAAATAAACCGCACATCGATCAATCAAACGTACTGTCATATATGATGCTTACATACATTGGGCCGCTAATTGCACGAAGATGTGATATTATATTACCCAACTAGAAGATGCCATGGTAAATCTAATTAGCCAATGATATAGTGAAAACTGCGATGTATTCCGTTGCGGCCGCTTCTGTCTTTCTTCTGTTTGATTGATTGGACGTCGTGCTTGGGCAATCTACTTACGAGTGACGTTGACGTCAGCCGCGGAAGAAGCGGCACCAAAAGATATGAAATACTGTCTGCCGTTGAGCGCCGGGTTTGATCGACATCGCGGAAAGCGACGCTCGTCATTCGTCATCCGTGAAACTGTGGCATGCACGAGTGAAGAACAGCGTGATACATGCTGGATCTCTCTTTAGCGCACATGTATTAGCTCTGCTGAGAGCTGCCGACTGGGGTAAATCGCCGTGTAGTTAGTTGTCCCGCAAATGTGAGCAGACTCGTGTATTCATCACTGGGAGATTTCCACGACGTGTTCGACAGGTATAAGCGGTTTTACATGGTCCCGGCATTCAGGTCAGGGCACGGCATTCCACAACGTTCACTGACTACTGATACAGTATTACACTGGAAACTGTCAACAGCTTTTCAGTTCTATGATGTCTTTTCAAAGTATTTACGACACCAAACTACAATATTTGTTATCATCTGCAACAAAATATCATTCAATGTATATATGTATTAAGATTTACACAAACATACACCCTTCTGATGGCATTGAGCGTTAATTGTTCCATAAAAATCACACTTCCAGCTCAGACCAGAGCTTGATTTCTGCCGCCTGGTACTTAGAGTAAGTGTTGGTTATTTATGCGATGACGTCACAGTGAACAAGGCAGCAGACTCATGTTTTTTTCATGGTTTGATTTTCAATAACATAAGAAGGGTTTATATATGATGTAACCGTCTATGTTCATTTGGTGATACTGTCATTGTTGAATGTAATTATGAAATGTTGTATTTTGGTATCACTGCTGTCATAAGCACTTTAAGATTATTGTTCACCAGAATGCGTAGTGCTGATTAGGCCTCAATCCACTCGGACAGCGCTCTCACCGCGCTCTCTCAGCGACCTGAAATTGCGCGAAGAGAGGGCTATGAGGGCGCCAAGGCCGCCATGAGCGCCGTCACCTCGGCGACCGTTTTGGACCGGCTCATAGTGAGATCGCCGAGGACGGCGATCCAACAATGATCGCAGAGAGAGCGCCGTGAGAGCGCTGTGAGAGCACAGAGTGCGCCGTGAGAGCGCACAACGGTCCAAACAGTAATTTATATTACAAACGTGGCGAGCTTGGCAATGTCTCGGTCAATGCCTCGGCGCTCCGGCCATTTCAGGTCGCAGAGAGAGCGCAGTGGGAGCGCCGTCAAGTGAAATGGGGGTATTACAGATTTTGACATCTCGTTCAACAGGTAAACGCTGTACATGACATCGGCATTCAGGTCAGGGAGTAGTATAGTCCACAACGTATACTGACTACTGATACAAACGATTATATTGGGGATATTCTGTGATAGTTCATCCTCTAAGCTTTAAAAAGAAGTGTAGTCAGACTATTTTGCGTCTACCGCTTAATAAGTGCGGAGTGAGAGTGTTTGCCCTGCAATAATACGGCCCGGTCGTGAAATGCCTGCCGGATGCATCACAGTAATTATCCCACATTGCCGAAGTGCATAAATTTCCTT